TTACCATTTATTCCATGGCCTGTAATTTCCTTGCCAGTCTTTCAAGTGGTCCCTTATCAGAAGTTTTAGCAATATCCATGTCTACTACATCCACCGGAAGGCCTTTGTCTGAGTAGTTTTTAACATTTCCAAGAATGTGAGCAAGTTTCTAAGGCAGGATCTATTTTTAACAAATCCATGTTGTGTTGATAATACAAGGTTGGTCACTGAGAGATGGTGAATGATCCCTTCCCTGAGGGTTCTCTCCATAAGCTTGCAGATGTGTGACGTCAAGCTGATCGGCCGGTAGCTTTCCGCTGAGCTCTTTCTGCTTTTTTTTTTTTTTTAAATAGGAGTAATATTTGTATATTTCCAATCTAGGGGGAACTACCTCTTGGTCCAGAGATTTTGTGAAAAGTAGTTTCAGCTGTAGGCATAGTTCTTCTGCCAGTTCCTTTAAGACTTTGGGTTGGATTTCGTCCGCACCTGGGGCTTTGGAGTCTTTCAGTTTGTCACTGTTCTATCTAATTATTGCGCATGTTATGGGTGTATCCCTAACTTCCTTCTCCTCGGGTCCTTCAAACATTTGTGTGGGGATGAGAAGTCATCCAACCTTTCGCTTAGTTATTATTAAGATTAAGCTTAATATAAACATTTACAAGTTTATCTTTGGTTTGTCTTGTCGTGTTTCTCGATACAAAAAAGTTACAAATAATAATCTGCTTGTTGTTCCGGGGATCAATATTCCGGCGGCGCGGTCTATGACCACGGATTCATCAAGTAGTTACACAAGTACCCGACTTACCTGAGGGACACTAACCCTAGTGGCCTCGACGAGGGCAGGAAGCCGGCGGCTTGTCGAATGTCCCAGATTTGCCTTGATGACCTATTCTAGGTATATTTTAAAACTCAGCAAAGTTTTGGCAGCTACGGCTTCGGCGGGTAGGCGGTTCCGTGGATTAATAGCCATGTGGGTGAAAAAGCATCAGCTGTTATCAGTCCTACATTGTGGCTTGTTAAGCTTGACACCGTTGTTCCTTGTTTGTGTTACATCTGACCTTCTGAAGAAAACATCTGGATCAACATCCTTTAACTTGTTTAGTATTTTAAAAGTTTCAATGAGATCTGCTAAGTACCTGTACAGTATTTTTGTCTCAGTCTTTGATGGCTTTACATTTATTAAACAGTTTATGAGCTGCAAAGCACCAGGAGGCTCTTTATAACAATAATAATTTGGATCGGGAAGTTTCGCTGCTCGTAAACTGTTTAATAAACGTAAACAAAGCAATATGTATTGAGGGAGTGTTGAGAAGTCGTTGTCCCCTTAACATGGGAGACTTTGTCTCAGTGCACCTATTCCATCTCTGCCTTTCAACGGGACTATTTTGCGCTCCTAGAGTTATTTCCGTGCATAGATTTGGATCCATTCCGTCTTAATATTTTTCAAGTGTAAATTATTATTTAACTGAGGGTCCACTAACACTCTAGTGGTCTCGACGAGGACAGGAAGCCGTCAGCTTGTCAAAGGTCCTCCCCCACCCATTTGTCCCGATGAATTTTTCTAGCAGGATTTTAATTTTAAAATTCAACAGGTTCGTCATTTACGGCTTCTACGGGTAGGCGGTATTGCGTGTCTCTCCTGCGCTCTACAGAGTAGAAATTTAACAATTTTAAGTGTACGCTAATACACCTTATACAAAGTTGTTCAACCACTGTGCCGCGGAACACCAAGGTAACTAGGATTCCACAAAAGATATTCATAAATAGGCTATTTCTAAACATATGAACTATACTTTTGAGTCGTTTATAGAAATAGCCTAAGCTACTCTATCCCTTTGAGATGTATTTCTTTGTTATCTCAATAAACATCCTTGAACTTGAGTCGTTTTTGTGTTGAATTTTCCTCCTTTAACCAGTATCAAGAGCAAAGACAGAAAATATTCTCCATTAAGTGACAATGAAATTCTTAAGTTTATCTGAAGTAAGGGAGGGAGGGAGGGAATTATGAGGAGAGAGCGCCATGCCATTACGACTATAAAGCACTAGGGTTAAGACAGGAATTGTTTAACGGATACAAAGGGTGAAAACCGCTGTCTTATTAGGTAAGGTTTGATTGATATATTATATGGTTCATGTTTGGTTCGCGGCCATTTGTTTTGGTTTATTTTATATTAGGTTTTGTTTGGTTTGTTTTGCTTGTTTGTTTATTTTTGTTTGGTTTATTTTTTGTTTAATCAAAATCAAATTAACAGCAATACCAAAATAATTGATTGCCCTTAATATTAAAATACAAAGAAACAGGAATAAAGACGCTTTTCTAATACAGTTTGGTGAGAGGGAGAGGCATGAAACAGCTGTTGTGTAGGTCTGATATTATTATGAGTAATCAAACAGCTGTTGTGTAGGTCTGATATTATTATGAGTAATCAAACAGCTGTTGTGTAGGCTTGATATTATTATGAGTAATCAAACAGCTATTTTGTAGGTTTGATATTAGTTAGATAAATGAAACAGCTGTTGTGCAAGTTTCGTGCTAGCGAGAAGAACGAAATAATTGTTGTGTAACATTTTTAAATTGTATTATTTCGTCATGAATTTGTTTATCGGAAAGAAAGATGGTTAGATATGAAACTTAAAAGTTACAAAGGAAAACATCAGTAATAAATACTAGAGGAAACCATATTACCTGATAATTGACGGTGGATCCACATTAATTTTAATCGTATCTTTTTACAAATTTTAATTCTGTTATACCAAACATTATCATCTCAACACGTCCCAGTTATTGTTGACTCTAAGAGATGAGATCGGAGCCGCGTATTGCATAAATTAGTCTGAACACTGTTAAGAACTGTGGATACTAAAGCCTCAACAACCAAGAGAAAATATATTATTTTGTTTAAATACTACACACCATTCCACGTATGTTTAGACAAATAACACTATACTTGTCTTAGAGTGTTTAATGTATCATGTGCACCTTCATATACGCACAATATGTACTCTCAACTAACTACCCTTCAGACAGTAGAGGTCCAGTGGGACACGCTTGGGACAGTAGAGGTCCAGTGGGACACGCTTGGGACAGTAGAGGTCCAGTGGGACACGCTTCAGACAGTAGAGGTCCAGTGGGACACGCTTCAGACAGTAGAGGTCCAGTGGGACACGCTTGGGGCAGTAGAGGTCCAGTGGGACACGCTTCAGACAGGAGAGGTCCAGTGGGACACGCTTCAGACAGTAGAGGTCCAGTGGGACACGCTTCAAACAGTAGAGGTCCAGTGGGACACGCTTGGGGCAGTAGAGGTCCAGTGGGACACGCTTGGGGCAGTAGAGGTCCAGTGGGACACGCTTCAGACAGTAGAGGTCCAGTGGGACACGCTTCAGACAGTAGAGGTCCAGTGGGACACGCTTCAAACAGTAGAGGTCCAGTGGGACACGCTTCAAACAGTAGAGGTCCAGTGGGACACGCTTCAGACAGTAGAGGTCCAGTGGGACACGCTTCAGACAGTAGAGGTCCAGTGGGACACGCTTGGGGCAGTAGAGGTCCAGTGGGACACGCTTCAGACAGTAGAGGTCCAGTGGGACACGCTTCAGACAGTAGAGGTCCAGTGGGACACGCTTCAAACAGTAGAGGTCCAGTGGGACACGCTTCAAACAGTAGAGGTCCAGTGGGACACGCTTCAAACAGTAGAGGTCCAGTGGGACACGCTTCAGACAGTAGAGGTCCAGTGGGACACGCTTGGGGCAGTAGAGGTCCAGTGGGACACGCTTCAGACAGGAGAGGTCCAGTGGGACATGCTTCAGACAGTAGAGGTCCAGTGGGACACGCTTGGGACAGTAGAGGTCTAGTGGGACACGCTTCAGACAGTAAAGGTCCAGTGGGACACGCTTCAGACAGTAGAGATCTAGTGGGACACGCTTCAGACAGTAGAGGTCCAGTGGGACACGCTTCAGACAGTAGAGGTCCAGTGGGACACGCTTGGGACAGATGAGGTCCAGTGGGACACGCTTCAGACAGTAGAGGTCCAGTGGGACACGCTTCAGACAGTAGAGGTCCAGTGGGACATGCTTCAGACAGTAGAGGTCCAGTGGGACACGCTTCAGACAGTAGAGGTCCAGTGGGACACGCTTGGGACAGATGAGGTCCAGTGGGACACGCTTGGGACAGGTGAGGTCCAGTGGGACAGATGAGGTCCAGTGGGACACGCTTGGGACAGGTGAGGTCCAGTGGGACACGCTTGGGACAGGTGAGGTCCAGCGGGGAACTAGAGACTGTAGAATTCACCGAATTCATGCCCCACAAAATTAGTGTTGATTAATCTTTCAAAATGTAATGTTTATTTCTCCGTTATTATTACATGTGCTGAGGCCAACAACATTGTTCGTTGATTATAATTCACTGTGTCGGGGGACAGGCAGCCAGAGTGTGTTTATACACTTTAGGCTTATATCGACGCCACCCCCCCCCCCCAGGCTGCAACCCCACAACCAGCTGACTAGCTCCTGAGCACTCTCATGCTGCTGGGTGAACAGCACATTAGGTGATAAGAAATTCGGCCAACCATTTCTGTCCCGCTCGGGATTCGAACCAGGAATTCTCGATTGTGAATCGAGAACGAACCGGGAACTGTACTACCGGGACCATTTAAATGTTAAATAGATGTCATGATATATTATACGTGTTAGTGTGTTAAGCATTCTCCACTATATGGGTCCCGCTAAACCACTGTATACTTCAGATATATGGAGCAGCTAGAGTGCAAGAATGGGCGGTAGAGAGGCCAGATGACCCGCCGCCGGCTCTCCTGTCCCCTCCACAGGGCGACAACGCCGCCACTACACGTTGTACCATCACCATATTCTCCTCCAAAGGCTTCACTTGAAACAAAAAATGAGGCGATAAATATCGTGTTGGTATTGGACGAGGATATACAAAGAGTAAGAGATCGATGGCAACTGGGAGGGCGGCTGCAGCCACCCTCTCGCCACCATCGTCCAGTGAAGTCAGTTTGGGCCGCGAGTCTTAAGAGAGAGGAGCAGCACGTTCCCTCTCCGTCCCTCAACGGATCGAGTGTCGCAGCTGTGCTAGTGTGACGAGTCCTCTTCCCTCCAGCAAGTCTCAAGTCAGCTGAGTTACGGGTGATTGTTGCTGTCTCAACAGTCCTGCCAGGAATGTACACAGTGAATGTATTATGTGTATTGTGATATAAAGTGAAACCTTGTTGAAAATTACCCAACGTGGACACGAAGTATAATGCTCTTAAAGACTGACTGTAATAACTCAATATACCAAAATCAAATATTGTAATAAAATTTGCAGAACCTCATCCTGAAAGACAATACAGAAATCAGTCAAACTGGTTCAGAAGGCATTAGAGAACCTTCCTTTGGCAGGAGGTTCATTAGACAGTAAAAACAGCACCCGAGGGCTGTGCAAAATGAGACTTGGCGACGGAGGTAGAGACGGTGGCGGCGATGGCTGCCTCCTAGCGGGGCAGTGGAGCGCCGACCCCAACACTGGCATAGTCCAGCTGACGGAGGCCGCCCTGGCCAGGCTTATCAACACCGACCCCATCGACAAGTGGTACCAACTGGACCCCGAGCCCATAGCCAGGTACGTGTGTCGTGTAGCCCCTATACCCTGAGCCCATAGCCAGGTACGTGTGTCGTGTAGCCCCTGTACCCCGAGCCCATAGTCAGGTACGTGTGTCGTGTAGCCCCTATACCCCGAGCCCATAGCCAGGTACGTGTGTGGTGTAGCCCCTATACCCCGAGCCCATAGCCAGGTACGTGTGTCGTGTAGCCCCTATACCCTGAGCCCATAGCCAGGTACGTGTGTCGTGTAGCCCCTGTACCCCGAGCCCATAGTCAGGTACGTGTGTGGTGTAGCCCCTGTACCCCGAGCCCATAGCCAGGTACGTGTGTCGTGTAGCCCCTATACCCCGAGCCCATAGCCAGGTACGTGTGTGGTGTAGCCCCTATACCCCGAGCCCATAGCCAGGTACGTGTGTGGTGTAGCCCCTATACCCCGAGCCCATAGCCAGGTACGTGTGTCGTGTAGCCCCTATACCCTGAGCCCATAGCCAGGTACGTGTGTCGTGTAGCCCCTGTACCCCGAGCCCATAGTCAGGTACGTGTGTGGTGTAGCCCCTGTACCCCGAGCCCATAGCCAGGTACGTGTGTCGTGTAGCCCCTGTACCCCGAGCCCATAGCCAGGTACGTGTGTGGTGTAGTCCCTATACCCCGAGCCCATAGCCAGGTACGTGTGTCGTGTAGCCCCTATACCCTGAGCCCATAGCCAGGTACGTGTGTGGTGTAGCCCCTATACCCTGAGCCCATAGCCAGGTACGTGTGTCGTGTAGCCCCTGTACCCCGAGCCCATAGTCAGGTACGTGTGTCGTGTAGCCCCTGTACCCCGAGCCCATAGCCAGGTACGTGTGTGGTGTAGCCCCTGTACCCCGAGCCCATAGTCAGGTACGTGTGTGGTGTAGCCCCTGTACCCCGAGCCCATAGCCAGGTACCTGTGTCGTGTAGCCCCTATACCCCGAGCCCATAGTCAGGTACGTGTGTCGTGTAGCCCCTATACCCCGAGCCCATAGCCAGGCACGTGTGTCGTGTAGCCCCTGTACCCCGAGCCCATAGTCAGGCACGTGTGTCGTGTAGCCCCTATACCCCGAGCCCATAGCCAGGTACGTGTGTCGTGTAGCCCCTGTACCCCGAGCCCATAGCCAGGTACGTGTCGTATCTGCTGAACCCCAGAACGAAGAAATTAACACATGATGAACAATGTGACAGTGTCAGACCACGAAGGAAGGATTAAGACAAGAATTTCTTTAAGTACTTTCGTATTTAATAATACATCTTCAGAGGGATGGATTTACAATACAGTGATGTGGATATATAGGCAGGAATGAGGTGAGGTGAGAAACAATGTCTTACTGAGATAAGGGGATATTAATAAGGTATTATTGAGATAAATATGTATAAATGATCCATGATATTGAGTTGTTAAAATCATAAATTAAGATTTTATGTATAAATGATCTTACTCAAATCGTTAACACATTGTTTCTCACCTCACCTGTTGCTTCTTTTATTACTTGTTCAACCACTGATAATTATTATTTCTGCTTTGCCTACGATTGTTACGTTGTTAGTACATAACATACATTTCACTGACACTATTCTACAACTTACAAGGAGAAAGCTTCTACAAGCTAACAAAGTTGTTGTTGTTTAAGATTCAGCTACTGGGAACAAAACGTTCCAAGTAGCACGGTCTATGGTGAGCCCGTAGTGGACTTGCCTGGCACAGGAGCGGGGATGTAACTTGCTATGTTTTTTACTAGCTTACAAAGAGAAATCTAGACATTTATAAGTGTGGGTACCCCTCACTCTACGCTTCACTTAACGCCCTTAATCATAAGGAGTGCTGAAGGATAGGGTGAGGTGACTGTTGCCTGACTCCGGATTTTAGTTGTCCGCCAGGTCTTCCATCTTCTCTCTGGATCAATGGAGGATCATCGAGCAGCTGTATGCTCCAAGTCGAATTCAATAGAGTGATCACTGGTGTCAGCTCCCGAGTGAACACAGCCTCAAGCGTACGAAGCCTCATCGACTTTGCGTGTGATTATTGTCGTGTCTTTCACTATGTCTTGGTGCTTCAGGATGGTGTTGTGGTGTTAAGAATGATGTTGCTTAATACTCCCCTCCTGCAAATGAAGTGTAAGACGTGTACTCAGTGTATTCTTGGTGTGTCCAGTGTAGCATATATTTCCGAGCGCACAGTCTCCAGAGTTTCAGGTGTATTACATCAGTACACCTCAGTTTGTCTGAGGAGGCAGAGATGTTATGTCTCATAATGAGGGAAGATGTATTTAATTTTTTTTAAATTTTGCCCCGAGGGGCGAGTTTATTGGGCAGCGCCACTCATCCTGTGAGTGGACACACCGCCATAGTGACAGTATTGGGCAGCGCCACTCATCCTGTGAGTGGACACACCGCCATAGTGACAGTATTGGGCAGCGTCACTCATCTTGTGAGTGGACACACCGCCATAGCAGAATGTACAACACTCCCCAATAGGAAGAAAACCCGCTGGGTTGTTCATCCTGTCACTTGTACCCAGACACAGCTGGGACTTGCTTAACTGTCTCAAGTGAACAGCTCCTCAAAAAGGAAGGTTTGAGGAAGATGTATTGTTATAATACATGACAGGACGCATCCTGGCGTTCTCACGGCAAGGTTCACAATTCCTGTCAATTATATCTCGTATCACCTTCTCATCTTTCTTGTATGCATGATGGATGGATTATTAGGGGAAAGCGCCAAGCCATTACGACTATATAGCACTTGGAAGGGACCAGGATAAAGATTTGGGATGGGACGGGGGGAAAGGAATGGTGCCCAGTCACTTGAACGGTCAGGGATTGAACGCCGACCTGCATGAAGCGAGACCGTCGCTCTACCGTCCAGCCCAAATGGTATGCCTCAGTAAATGTATTTTTATAATACACTATAATGTCTTCCCTTGGACTTGTACCACCAACTTGAACCAATCCGCTAAATTGACGTGAACAACGATGACAGCGATACGGAACAAGACCATATCGTAAGAAGCTGAGCCGCCGTCTGACTGAGGATAGTCAGGCCCCGGGGTGTATGTCTGTGTACATTGTAGTGTATTATAAAGATACATTGTAGTGCATTATAAAGATACATTGTAGTGTATTATAAAGATACATTGTAGTGTATTATAAAGATACATTGTAGTGTATTATAAAGATACATTGTAGTGTATTATAAAGATACATTGTAGTGTATTATAAAGATACATTGTAGTGTATTATAAAGATACATTGTAGTGCATTATAAAGATACATTGTAGTGTATTATAAAGATACATTGTAGTGTATTATAAAGATACATTGTAGTGTATTATAAAGATACATTCACTTGTATCTGCTTCAGTGTCTCTACCAGGAGTCACCAACCAGGGCTTGTATAACGCTGCAACGGTGCAAATGCTATGCATTCATGAAGTAAAACTTCTAACTTCGCGTCGACGTGAATCAATTTATCATAGATCTTTCTTTTCATTAACATGTGATTGTATCACAATCCACTACAAGATATGTACAAGTACTATTTATTTTGTACAAGTAATGAGTTGTAGGGATGTGACAACCAGCCGAAAATATTGTATGTCCGCGGGAGCTTACAGCTTGGGGCTAGACTTGAAGGGGGGGTAGGGGGGGGTGAGGTAGTGTTACCCGTCACCAGAGAGCGCTCTAAACGTCCTGGACCGTCACGTGGCTCGTTACAGCCCCGCTCCTGTGCCAGGTAAGTCCACTACGGGCTCACCATAGCCCGTGCTACTTGGAACATTTTTGTTCCCAGTAACTGAATCTTAAACAACAACATCGTGGCTCGTGTGCCCAGTGGCGCCACGACCAACGCCGTGGCCGGCCAATGGCAGGGCTGAACGAGGGTGACGTCACGTGGGCCGGGAGGTGCAGGCTGGGGCAGCAGTCGGGTCGTGGCCTGACCCAGGTGCAGGCTGGGGCAGCAGTCGGGTCGTGGCCTGACCCAGGTGCAGGCTGGGGCAGCAGTCGGGTCGTGGCCTGACCCAGGTGCAGGCTGGGGCAGCAGTCGGGTCGTGGCCTGACCCAGGTGCAGGCTGGGGCAGCAGTCGGGTCGTGGCCTGACCCAGGTGCAGGCTGGGGCAGCAGTCGGGTCGTGGCCTGACCCAGGTGCAGGCTGGGGCAGCAGTCGGGTCGTGGCCTGACCCAGGTGCAGGCTGGGGCAGCAGTCGGGTCGTGGCCTGACCCAGGTGCAGGCTAGCTACAGCTGGCCACTGTAAAGTTGCTACTTGTTCTTGTTTTAGCTTCAGCTACTGGGAACAAAAAAGTTGCAGGTAGCACGGGCTATGGTGAGCCCGTAGTTGCTAGGATTAGCGTTGCAGGTTAAGGCTTGCGTTATCTCGTGTATTTGCCTGTAGTAATCCTAACATGTTTTTGTTACTGTGCAGTTTTGTAATGTCCAGTTTATTGTTAAAGAGAGGCGGTGTCTCACGGTACTTCAGGTGTGGCTTCTCACTTGTAAGGTTAGGGGCTACCTGGGTGTTTACTTGCTGCAGTCAACACGTATTCATTACCTTACAGCTTTTCATGTAGTCTACTATTAAAGATATATGTATTGTAATTACTCTTGAGTGTCTTTCAGTTAGGCTTTGTTAAGGCAGTAGAGCTGGCGGTTATGGTTTGGGGGCTAACTATTGTAATTGCTTGTTACTGCCCAAACATAACTTTCAATTTCCTCAAGTCCACTCACTCTACTGTAAGAATCTGTGTTATTTTTATTGTGTACTTTAGTTATTTTTTGTTCCCGTTTTCTGGGAATAGTCCAAAGTTTTAATAGTGTTTTCATACCTATGTCCTCAACGGTGCCTAGGTGGAGTAACCTTAAGGTGGAGTGGAGTGGAGTTCACTCCACCAGTAGGTGGAGTGAACCCTAAGGCTCGAGTACAGGTACAGGTGGAGGTAACACTGGACTCCACCTCGGTCAATTTTCATTTTTTTTGAAGTAGGAGGCTGTATGGTTTTTGTTTTAATT